TATTTCTTTTATTGAAAACAAAATTATCCGTTTGAAAACATCGCCTATCAGAATAACATGTAGTAAGCAGCTGCAAACTTTTTAACCGGAACTAGAGTAGGTGCCGAGCTCGAGATTGTTATTGTTTACATTTCTATTAAAAAACACCATCCATAAAAAAAGGTAGAAAAAAAAAGTTGTTTTGTTCGAAATACGCTAAGTTCAAATTATGTATAAACCTAACATAAGTAATGCCTCAATATTAAAAAGTGAGAACCAATTTGTTTGAAATATCCATATATTTTAGGAATAATTTATTAAATTTTTTCTTCAGAAAAGGATTTATTTAGTTGAAAACACGCTGATATCATAGTGATATCGTACTAAGTGCTGCTCTTACATTAGGCTAGCCAATTTACAATTTATTTATGATTTTTTGCAAAGCGGAATTTATTTTAAATTGGTTCCACATTACAAATTAAAAGAGAATTTTATTGAAAATAATTATGCACGAAAAGAAATAATTAGAGAACATTTTGAGAAATGTCTTGTTTTGTCCAAATACTATAAGCTCAAATTAGACATATCATATCGCCAAATTTAGGGTAAATAATTTACGATTTTTTCAATTTAGAAAGCAGTACTTTTATGAAACTATTTCGGTATTGCAAAGTCAGCTTCAATTTTACTGGAAAATTCACATATGGCATGAAATTATTAGAGAAAATTTAAAAAAAAAAGAGACTATTTAATTGCCTAAAACACGCTAAGCTAAAATTATGTATATTGATGAAATATGCAAGTGTAAAAAATTAGCGAATATTTATAACTTTTTGAATATATTATAGTTTAGATTTTAAACTAAAAGTTGTTTTTTTGAGTTATTACTATGATTATAAAAATATCCTTAATTGCGAATTTGATTATTTGGAAATTCTAATTAATATTTGTCTTTTAAATATATATCTTTACAAAGAAGAACATACTTTTATTCAAATTGTGGGAAAACCAGAAGAATCTAATTTTTCAACTCTCTTAGTTAACTTATTTTTATATGATGAAAAAATTATTCTCTTAATATTAAAATTGTTATTAGATTTATTGAAGATTTAATTATCTTTAATTTTCAAAATTGCACAATTCTGCTAAATAGTATTTACCCCGAGGAATTAATCTTACTTCGTCAACATGACGATAATATTAGTTTTAATTTTAGTTTTTTGGATTTAGGTATTAAAAGAGACGAAAATATCTGCATTGTTGATTTATAGGATAAGAGAAATGATTTTAAATTTAACATAAATAAACTAATTACTTGGAATTTTAATGTTTATAAAAAAATTTATTTAAATTCCATTTTTAATCAAATGAATAGAATCAAAAGAATCTGAAATTTTTTTTTTTTATCCAAGAAACAAATAGACAGTTTCTTTCAAAATTTGATTAAAAACAATGGATACCCAACTAATGTTATTAAGTTCTATATAAAATCATTGAGTTAATTGGGTATTATATTAAAAAAGCACAATTACTTCCACTTACTAGGAATAACATTTACCTTTTAGTTTAATTAATAAACTGAGTTTTAAATATGTTTACTAAATTCATAAACTTCGGTAAAACAATAATATAAATTATTTCCAAAGGAACTAGACTAATACAATTCCAACCTGGCGAGTAGCGACTTATAAACAAGACACTTCGTTTGATGCTTTTACTTGTTGATAAAAATCAGGTTCACAGAAAATGCTGTTTACTAGTTAAATTTCGTAGGAATAACACGATCTGTGACGTAAGCTATAGTATACCCAATTGTAAGTAATTGTTTTTAATTAATTTTCTAAAAAGCTTCTTTGTTGACTAAGTTTATATTCTTACCGTGTGCAAATCCAATTCGGGCAAATCCGTCGATAAAAATCTTCAAAACAATTTTATAAATTTTTTTTAATAAATCTTAATCATCATCATCATATCTGGCCAGACAGCCCAGGGTGGGCCAGTGAATTCCTTTGAATTCGAATCCACTTCTCTCTATTTTTGACACTTGTTCGCCAGTGTTGTGACACTNACGATCTGTGACGTAAGCATTAGTATACCCAATTGTAAGTAATTGTTTTTAATTAATTTTCTAAAAAGCTTCTTTGTTGACTAAATTTATATTCTTACCGTGTGCAAATCCAATTCGGGCAAATCCGTCGATAAAAATCTTCAAAACAATTTTATAATTTTTTTTTAATAAATCGTAATCATCATCATCATATCTGGCTAGACAGCCCAGCGTGGGCCAGTGCCTTCCTTTGAATTCGAATCCACTTCTCTCTACTTTTGACACTTGTTCGCCTGTTTTTCTCCTATAGAGTAAGGAAATCATTCTCAACTAAATCCAGTCATCTCAGCCTGGGTCTACCTCTTTTCCTGTTCGTTAGGGGTTTGTGTAATAGGATTTTCTTTAAATTTGAGTCATCATTCCTTCTGAAAATGTGAGCTGCCCAGTTCATTCGATTTATTTTTTATGAATTTCTCAATATCTGGCTCTCTCTAGATTTTATACAATTCAGTATTATATCGTCTTCTCCAGGAATTATTTATTTTTATCCCACCAAGGATGGCCTTCAAAACTTTTCTCTCAAAAATGGCAATTTTATTTTCACCAGCTTGAGTTAGGTTCCAGGTCTCAGATCCATAGGTAAGTATTGGCCTAATTAATGTTTTATAGAGTAAAAGTTTTGTATTTTTTGATAAAAGAGAGGATTTGAAAAAACGTTTTAAACCATAAAAAGCTTTATTTGAACAAATTAGACGACTCCGAATCTCATTGTCTATGTTATTGTCGGCAGTAACTATTGAACCAAGGTAAGTAAAATTCTGAACAGTCTGAAATCTGTGTGGGAGCCAATCTCCAGATAGGATTCACTAGAATTTAATTTAGTAAGTACAGGCATGCATTTGGTCTTATTGGTATTAATGGTTAGTCCCATATCCCTAGCAGCAAGCTCCAAAGAAAGGACAGCTTCTTTTAATGCAGGAACAGTTCTTGCAATAATGCCTAAATCATCTGCATACGCCAATATTTGAATAGATTTTGAAAATATGTTGCCTCTGATATTGAATAAATGTTAATAATTTCTTTAAAATCATTAAAATGGTATAATTAAAAATCAACCTTATTAATTATAAACTCTAAATTATTTTGCATAATATTGTCTTGCATACATCCATTTTCGGGCCAATATAAGGTAACTAACGAATAAAGCGCATTTCAGTTATGCAGTAAGAACGTGCCATAAGAAGATGACTCTTCCCTCTATTTACGCTTCTATTTTCATATTTTGTAATCTGGCAAACTTGTTACGAAAATATTTTAAATTATTTTTGATGGATACCGGTATGTGTAAGTTCATCTGAATTCACTACTCACTTTATATATTACCTTTTGTATTTTTTATGTATTTTACTTTAAAATTTTTTGCTTAATTTGTTTTATTTCGTAATTTTTACTTAATTTGTTTTATTTTGGTTACAATTTTCTTTGGTGCTGCTCACAATTATTGTATTGATATATTTTGCTTTGGCTATATTAATACAATATTAGAAAGCATCCATTTTGCATATATAAAGATATAATCGTGCGAGCTGATGACGAGATTATATCATTTCATTATTTTTGTTTTATCGCTTTTAAATTTTTCCTCTTCTTTTGTTTTTTCCTCTTTTTTTAAAAAAAATAGAAATGATTTTTTTAATTATTTGGAAATATTATATTCTAAAAACCTTTCTTCTTATTTTCCCCGTGCTTTCTCAGTATTTTATTAAATCAGGGATTTATTTTATTTCAGAAATAAAGTCACTTTCGCGCAAATTTATTATTGCTCACTTTTCGAATTCAACAAATACATGAATTTTAAATAAGTTCAGCAAGTTTTATATTTATAAGTAATTTTTTATTTGCTTATTATTATGATTATTTTTTAACTATTGAAACTACGTTTTTATTCAAAAACGTGATTCTCCAGATAATTTCACTTCTATTTAGTATTCGACTAAATGTAGCCTGATTAGCAGAATTACTTATTATTCGATACGTGAGATAGTGAATAATTATGTCTTCATCTTAGCTATGAATTAGTTAATTATTTTTATATTTATTTATAAAATGAATCGTCTTTTATCTATATATATATTTCTCTTACACGGCGACAAAAAAAATGCCTCATTACAACTCCCCAAATGGCAACGCTGGAAAATCGACCAATGATTGCAGCTAAAAATGTCACATGCCACATCTAGCTGAGATGGCTCAACATATAGCGCTTTTAAAAACGGAAACTGAAATAACCAGAGAGAGCATAAGCTAGGCAGAAGTGAGTAGTCTTTGTCGATAGATCTCTATTTTAGTATTTTGTCGAAAGCGCTTTTTTTCACGAATTTATATATTACGAATTTATTTGACGATTTTTGATTTATATCACGAATTTATTTGTTTTACTAGAATTTATTTGTTTATGCAGGTTTTTCCATTGCAATTCACTTATTTCAATTTTTAATAGACTTAATTATAGCCAAAATTTTAACCTTTTTAAAGAGATATCAGTTTTAGAAATTTTATCTTAAGATTTTATACTATAGCACATTTCTAATAGGTTTAACGAATTACATGTCATTTATTTGAATTCAAATTTATTTTAATGACTTAGTATTTACTAAAAAGATGTAATTTCTTTTTTTAAAATAAGTTGTTACATGGATTTGAATGATTGCTTTGAATTCTTAGAATTTTGTGCATTTGCAATGTACCTAAGTTATTAGCGAGGGAAGCGAGCTTCGTTTGCGAAGAAAACCATATAAGATTGCGTAGCAATTTTCGGGGGTTGGCGAGCGTTAGCGAGCAAGGGGCTCAGCCCACTAGTTTTATTTATTGACTAAAATAAACTCTCCCGCTATAACCCATTGTCGTACTAGAAGGATCAAGGAGGTTAGGGCCCCACAATTTCGTGACTAACGGCCTAATGGTGACAGTGCGGTCACCACTACGTATTTATTTCCCGAATAAGCTATTACACATTTTATTATATTTTATAACCGTCGTTGAACAATTTTGAGGGTACTACTACCAATGTTTAAATTCGTAGCCTTATAATTTTGAACCCAGTCCAGAAGACAAGGGAACTTTTAGATCATGCATCGAGAGAAATTTGCTATCGTCTAGAGTTTTTTGGTAGAACTAACCCCCATTTGAGTTACTCGGAGAGCAAAACCATGGAACTGAAACTCTCCACGGTTAGTCTGACGGTAAAGGGACTCTAACCAGTGATCGGTCTACCACTGTAGATATTTTACGTCAGCATTGTGATCGGTGCCAACCGGGTGCAGAATTCGTAACGACTAGCCATCGCTGGGATTCTAATCTACGTCAGCTCATTGAGAGGTGAGCGCTCTATCCCCTGAGCCACCACGACTTGCTTCTACACATTGATCATAATCTGCTTGGGCTGAGAGCATCCTCTATAGATTGAAAACTAGTTCTTCACATAAAGAGTTCAGTGCTATAACCACTAAGCCATCGTGGCTTGTTGACTAAAATAATTAAGCATAAAATTGTCAGATCATTTATATATTAGTGGAAAAATTGAATATTATCAAGAAAATAATTTAATTTTTTTAAAAGCAAATGAATTAAATACTTATTTATGATTCTGTCAAATCAGGAATTTTATTCGGTCGAACGAAAATGTTTTCCTTCTCAAATATACAAAGTTCGCAGCTCTCCTATCTGTATATCGCTAACATAAAGGTCAACACTTTGCGATTTTTTTTTTTATAATTTCCCTAAGTAGTATTTATTTGAATTTGGTTCCATATCAGAAAGTGAGTGTTAATTTGCTTGAAAACACTCATATGTCAAGAAATAATTATAGAAAAAAAAAAGATAAATAATGATGCTAGATAAAGGAAGGGAAAATTTAAAGTAATTATATAAAAACATCATAACGCCACGAAAATAAATTAAAATTAGGGAAACTAGCATTACACTGCTTTTCAGATTTTGATATTCCGTTTTTTACATAAAAAATTCAGTGTTTTAGTTTGTTTTTGAATTTTTAGGGCTTTTCCAATTTCTGTATCTTCAGAACTTTTTTTTTTAATAAATTTATTATTTATGAAACGAAAAAAAAATAATATTAAAAAATAAGACACAAGTTAAAGAAACAAAAAGAAATTTATTTTTTGAAATACAGGATTTGAAGTTACATAGAAGAAACACGTCTAAATTATTTTTAGTTCCAGGAAGGAACTTTCTTATTTTTCTTTATAAAAAAAGGCAATTTAAATTTAAAATTAAAATTTTTTTTTTAAAGATAGCAGCAGTATCTTCATATCTCCACTCGTCCTCCATCAAGAATTCAATATCTCCATTTTATATCTAAAATATAAAAGCATAAAAAATCAAAAAAAAAACAGGTTAAACAAAAATTTAACATAAAGAGATCAAAGAATTTGAATTTTTTTACGAGTTTAAATAATAGAACTGAGTAACAGTTGATAAAACTGGGTAACAGTTTATAAAACAGTTCATTGAAGGGAAATTCCGGCTATCAAATAAACAAAATCAAAGCTTACAATTTTTGTAATTTTTTTCCATAATGTATGCAGGCTGCAGTTATACAAAATGAAGTTAGTCAAGAAATGAGATAATGATAGTTTTTATATGCTGTTTCAGAAGAGTTAGAAGCCTTCGTTGCAAAAAAAAAAATTTTTTTTAATGAGAATCTTTAAGATTATTTACTTATTCCAAATCAATTTTAAATTTGATTTTTATTGATATTCAACTATTTTTTAAAAAGAAGAGTTTTTGAGTGTGTTTCTCTTGTAACTATAGAACTATTTGTACAGTGGTACTGAAATTTGGGCAGTGGTTATTTTAGCTAGCGATTCCTAAAAATCGATAATAAGTTTTGATTTAACGAATTTTTCATAGCTTTATCCATGTGTTTCTTTGTTTATGGATATGCTTTCCGAAATGCGCTTTTATAATGTAAAGCCAATTATAATCAAAGTGGAAAAAAATTCATTTACGTACTAAAGTTATAACTAAATCTGCGAGATTATGAGGAATCTTTATTATCATGTATTGGCTGGGATAAGTTGCAGCATTTGTGGGAAATGTATTTTTTACCTGGTGAGCTGAACTTCTAAAAATGTATTTGTAAAGTTAATAATGAAAAGCCACTGGAAAGAACAACAAAAATTGTTATAAAAATTTTTTAAAAATAGTTTTTTTCTTCACTTTTGCGGTTTTCAGGTTTGTGTATAACTGCATAGTGGTAATTATTACTGATTCATTTACGTAAAAAACAAATTTTGTAAATCGCCGCACTGTATGGTGACGAAATTTCTGGTAAAAAACTAAATTTCTGTTTATCGAAGCCAACATATAGGGCATTTAAATCATTAATTTTGATACTTTTCTTTTCATATGGTAACTGTTTACCTGAAATTCTGGTTTTCAAAATTATAGCTCTTATTCCCACGCATTTGGGGAAAAATTCAAAACTGTAAGACAAATTTAACCAAATAAATAGTTTTTATGCCATGCTCTATGGCAGTGATTCTCAACCACTGTGCCGCGGCACTTTTGTGTACCGCCAAATTCTTAATATGTGCCCCCAAATATTAGAAATGATACAATACAAATTATAATACTTTTTTTTATTATGAGTGAAGTTTAAATTAGAGAAAAGTGTATATATAATATATATTTTTTTATAATTTCTCCACGCTTTAACCACGTGAACATCTTTGTCGGCGATTGTCTTGTCTCTGACAATCTTAAAATAAGTTAAAATAAGATGGAAGTGTTTAAATTGTATATGACGCACAATTTTAAAAAATGTTGTAAGAACTTATCATTAAAGTAAGCTATGCAATTAATAAACAAATTAACAAAGGATAACTAAAAAAACAAATATATAAAACCAAATTAACAAAGGATAACTGACAAAAATTAAGCTAACAATTAATGATTAGCAAAAAAACCAGTTAACAAGAAATCACAAAAAATAACAATTAATAATTATAGAAAACAAGCTAACAATTAATAACTGGCAAAAAATAAATAACTGTTACCTAACTAATAAAAAATTGGTCAAAAGAAATAATTAATCCCTTAATAAATGTGCTTTTGTAGTACATATTATTTTATTTCACATTCAAAATTATTTTCACAAACTATTCAACACAGTGTAAAATAGGTAATTAAGCAACTTTTAATCTAATTTTTTTTCATTGTGTGCCGTCAAATTTCGAAATCGTTAAAAGTGTACCGCCACAAAAAAAAGGTTGAGAATCACTGCTCTATGGTATAATGATAAAATAACCAAATTTTATCACATATTACGAAACTATATTTTATTGTTAATTTTACCAAAATCATTTTTAAAGCGCTTCCGTAGAAGCAACTGAGCTTTTTCGTGTTTCTGTAGAGCCAGCAACACGATAAATTTTATTCTGGTAGTTTTGACTCGAATTTGTTTTCTCTGTAGTGAAACTTTGAAAAAATTATTGATACTTTAGTTTTTTTAAATTAATTTAACTTTTTATATTTTTATTTTCATTTTAATTCATTTATTTCATTTATTCATTCTTTTTATTTCATTTTAATTACCCCGAACAAAGAGAGGCTATTAATAATAAACCTGAAGGCTCATAATTCTCACTTTGGATTAACGTCAAATGTATTGCAGGAAGTTTATTATTATCAATATTATTTCAATTATGCAAGTGGGAATTAAATTACTAATTAAAGTAGTTAAATAATCAGTGCAAAACAGGATTAAATCGAAATTTTTAAAATCAGATTTTTTTTCCACGGGTAAAGTAAATGCTTAAGAAGCATATTAAGGAGTGGTTACAGCGCCCCAATGCTAGTAAAAAAAGTGGATCATGACAATATTCGTCTATTTTTGAGTAGAGCTAGATACTTTGAAATCTTAGATAGTTAAAGTGATACACATTTAGTTTTACAATTGTAGGCTATGACATTTATCGTAAAAAAAAAATTTCAAAGCTAAAGCTAATTAAATATAATAACTTTAAGTTGAGCCACAAGAACATTTTTTTTTTGATGGCCCGGCTTTTTCTAATATGTGCCGGCCTTCGTATAGACGCTTAATGCAATAGTTGCAGTATCGTATTAAAAAATATAAAAATGGAACGGTGTTATTACGTTTAGTCTTGGGTGATTAAAAATAATTTTTCGATAAGATAAAATTAATAATTTAAGTATTATATTTGTACGTACATGAAATGTTTGAGACCGAGTAATGATAAGCCACACTAGTTCTGAAGGTGGCATTTTTTCACAAACTGTTTTTACTATTGTTTCCAGATAGATTGCTCAAGGTGACTCCATTATTCCTACATTTATATTTGTATTACAGATACATTTCATTTCCTATACTTCACTTCAACTCAGACATTGTGATGTGAGGCTGTCAAATTTAACTTCTCATATTTTAAATAAAACTATATTTGTTGAATTGTTTTTTAGTGATTTGTTTAAATCACATGCATCTCATATATAAATTATTTAAATTTTTTCCGAATTTCAATTAGTTAACAAAACTTTACGCATGTATCTTATTACATACATAGACATTGAGGTGTATTTTTACCAAAAAAAAGTGCTCTTAAACGCTTTCCTGAACAATTCGAAAATGCAGCTCGTAATTACATTACTCCAAACCCATCATATTTTACTCTGAATAATATATATGAAAATTTGAGTTTATTTATTTGAAACTAATTAAATCATTATGTAACAGCCTGTATATAATGATTTAACCCTTAATAGGGCGATTTTTTTCTAGTAATGTTATGTGAAAATGTATTTTGGATTGAGATTGGTTTACAGAAATTCATTTAGCTTATTATCTAAAATTAATTCGAATTTTTAAGACGATTTTTTTACTGGAAGGAGGGCGGCATACTAATTTTACCTATGTAATGAATTGTCCATTCACTTCAGTGCTAAAAATAACAAATGTTATAAAAATTCGTTATTTTTAGCATAGAAGTTCAAGTTTATGGACAATTCTTATGGAGTTCAAGGTTATGAAGTACAAGGTTATGGAGTTATGGACAATTCTGTGCTTACAAATAAACTCAATGAGAAATTATCAATGAACGAACGCACTCAATGTTGGTCTCTTTCTTGACCCCACGACGAACTTTACTGTTACCCTCACTTATCTAAATAAAGCCCCTCATTGTCATTGATGAAATAATCGGTGAGAAAATAACTCCCCTTGAACATTTAAAATCTAATGTAGCTTATGGGAAGTATGTTTCCCACAGTTTTATAACGGATTAGATTGCTAAAGATTGTCCTGTTGAAGCAGTTATTGCAAAACTATTTGTTGTGGTTTTAAGCTCATGGAAACGCAGAATTTTGGGGAAAAATGCATTAAAAGTGACTTTTTTATTTAATTTTTTTAAAAAACTGCTAAAGTGAAGCGAAAAGTTATGATTGCGTCGATTTTTATTCCTTCAATGAATCTGAAGATTTGCTGTTGGCCTTTGAGACACGGGGGATGATTTTTGTATGTTCTTATTGTTGTATTTTGTAATGTTTTTATTGTATTGTATTTTGTAATGTGTTGCAATTTTGTAAATACATTAATATAAGTTTTTTAAATTTTAACTGAATTTCAAAATTAATACATACAATTTACAAAAACACTCCATGTCAGTTAAAAAAATTTTTTTTTTCCGATCATTTTCTCTTTAAAAGTCCCTTTAATTATTTCTTTTTATGTCGTCAAACTACTATTTTAAATTAAAAAGATGAACAGATCTAAATAACGTATTATTTTATTATAAAATATTTTGAGATAATCACGATTGTTTAAGAATTTTTTCAGAAACTGATGACTTACAAAAAAATATAGTCGTCATTTTTATACAGTCTTATAAAAGAGTTAATTTTAATAGTTTCCAAATTAGCCTTTTAATTAAACATTTATAAATAGTGCAAAATAAATTTGTAAATACTAACCAATTTACCTGCTAATGGAAATAAAAAACACTATTTATAAAATTTATTAAAATTTAAAAGTAATTTGGATTCATTATCGGATTTATCGCATGTAAATTCAGGATACTAACCTCTTAGAAACAAAATAACACAACAACGCTCCCTTGTAATTATTTCTGAATTAAAAAATCAGTTTTAAATCACAGTTTAGTGACGTTGGTTTTGATGAATTGAATGTGGATGTTAAACTGAAAACAAAAATTGAACCCTAATACCCATCAAACTTGCTATAACTATGATGCCAAGTTGAGCCATTCTATTTTTCAAAATAATCACACTTAAAATTTTTTTTTTAGAGATTCTAATATTATGCATTTATATGGGTGTTTTGAGAATTCAATATAAGGTTTATGTTTTTGAGTTTTTCGTAGTTATTTACTTTAGAAAATGTTTGGTAAGATTTTTTAAAGACATAATTATCACCATAGTTTTTTTGGCAAAACAAATGTTCTATTTAATTTCTCTGAAATTAAACTCACCCATTAAAGCCATTTACCAGTGTCTGTAAGGATAAGCACCATATGCATAGTTATAGGCAAAATGAGGAGCTGCAGCTGCATAGCCAGAGGATGCGTAGTGAGATACACGTGCCCCAGGGGTGTAGGTGTTGTATCCGTAGTTGTAGACAGGAGCTACCTGGCACATGGCACATACAACCATGGCCAAAAGAAGAACAGCGATCTGGAATAAATACATAACATTAGAGAGATAAATGAAGTTAGGAAATTATTATAATTATAAAGAATGTTCCAAAAATTGCCTTTCAGAGTATAATATTATTTTTAATTTAGTACTAGTTATACTGTCTACCGAGGCTACTTGCCCGACACAAGAAATGTGCTAAATTTTGTATTGAGCAAACAAAACAATACTCAGGGATAGTTTTGTGCTTAAAAGTAGTTTGTACCCTATTTAGGGTGTTTTAATAATTTTAAACTATTTAAAAATTTTGCCAATTAGAGTTTGTGTAAATTTTTGCTCTGATGAGTAAATTGCTTAACTTCAAACTTTTCATTCTGGACTGATTGCGTGATAAGGTAATTGTTAAAATATTACCTTTGGTAACCTGTTAATAAGCGATAACTGTTTCTTCTCATTTTTTATTTTGATGGCACAATTTAATGTTCTTGTAAACATAATCTAGAAAATCAAAACTGATAAAAAGGATATTCTTGTTTAAGAGTGGGCTGACATCAAGAAAAAAATAAACCCTCTCAAGCAACAAGTGTTACAAGGTTACTTCTATGTTACTGAGATGACAGATTACGAGTTAGACTGAAAAGTGTAGCTTTCAAAAGTCAAAAGAACAAAAATAAATTTTTTCTCATGTTTCATTTTGAAGTAAACTGAAATTTTTTTTTATAAATTTGCACTGCTAACTTCCTTATGCTTTTATACTTTCTTAAAACTTAATTCAGAAGTTAAAAATTCTTTTGTTATGTTTTTTATTAACGAATATGTAAGAGTGAATACTCGAAAAATTGGCTTGAAATAAATCGGCGGTATGCAAAATGCTATTCTCAACAGCTACAACTGAAATGGTCTTAGCGTGCCTGTCATCCCGTTTTTTATCTTAATTTATTCAGTGTTCTGTTTATCAGTTTTGAAGTTTGTTGTTAGATTTCATTAAAGTCGGTGCAGCATTGAGGTTTTACTTGAAAAACAGTAGAAAAGTTATTTAAACTGTAAAAAAAATTCCGGATCAATTTTACGGTAAAAAGCCCCTGTGTCGGAAAATAACTACAATCCTTGTTTAAAAATAGCAGAACCACTCTATACAGAAAATTACCGCCTCGTATCGACGAAAACTACCATCAAAGATTAACTGATATGGACCTTTAATTCATTTTTTTACCGTAAAATTAATTTTTGCCGGAACATGTAACTAAACAAAACTGACATACGGTAATTTTTAGAGTAATAATTATCGTAAAATCACTGAATCAATCTTGGAAGTTTTTACATTATTTATTATTATTATTTTTGATTGTGGCGCGCTTCTCAAAAGGATTGAATACTATTGTTCTCATGCATTCTTCTAAATATACTTTAAATGTGATAAAATATTTTCACTGTATCTAATATAAATTAAAATTATAGATCATATACCATATTAGCGTAGTGTATTATTGCCATGAACGATGTTAATATAGTTAGTGAACTGATTTTCATTTAAAATTTTATTTTGTCGACTATTATCAAGAAAGATAAATAACTATCAAATTTGAAGCGAAAGTGAAAATATTTAAAAGAAATTTATGGAATATATTTTCGTTTTAAGTTTTAATTTTGAAAAACGTTATAAGAAATTTAAATATGTATTGAAAAAATATTAATTTCAATAAAACTTTTTAAGTAAATATGCGATACCAAATAAAAAATAGCTAAGTCTAAGGTTCAATAGAGATTTTACGGAAAATGAATTAAATCTATTAAAATTGTTAAAGAAATTAATTGATTATTTATTGAATTATTGCATAAAATTTTTAAGATAAAATAACAAGCGAAAATAAATAATTAGTGTTAAAAAATAATAGTAATTCTTAAGAAGCAATAAGTTCTAAAAATTAAGGTAATTTCTTCAAATTTTTTTTGCAAAACTTTTTTAGAAAAAAGCTTCTTTTTATTTAATTGCAATTCATAAAATTTTGTTTAGTTAAGAAATAATAAATAATATTATATTATTCAACATAGCTTAATATTTTAATTTTATGTTTGTCATAAATCAAAACAGTTTATTATAAATAAAATCAACTGGTACTTACAACGGCTTTCATGTTTAAATAGAACGTTTGCTATCTCAAAATAAGCAACGGTAAAACAGTTTATTTTTCAGTGGCTTATATACTATGTTAATGCATAAATTATTTGTTTTAATACAAGTTATAAATAAAGTAAAACTAAGAAAAGGGGGATGCTAACAATTAAACAGATTTGATTGGTTCTTTGGCATTTTTGAATTTTAGACATGAAGTGGAATATACAAGAAAAAAAAATTAAATAGTAACGCCAATCTATTCCCTAAGTGACAAAATCCCATGCAAAGATGCTCTTGAATTTCAAGGTTGTATATATTTTTCCCAACGTAAAAAAAATCAGGTGGATCAATTGGTCCTTTAATTGTTAGAGACCACACCCTTTTACCCTTTTATCAAATCTACCCTTGAACTAAAGAGAATCCTTGAAACCTTGGGAGAGAGAACTCTTTTGTCACTTATCGAATGATATTTATGTAAATATATAATAAATATTAATTATGATAATGTCATAGTTATAAAACAATTTGTAATGAATGTATTTTTATGTCAGAATTAGAAAAGGGATAATGAATATTAACATAAAAAATTTAATATTGATTTATTACACTAAAATTTTCCCGTTTTATATATTTTTTTGCGAGAATTGGTTTTTATCTAATCTGAAATTTATTTCTAGTTTTTAAGGGGATTCAAACATGTCCGTTGCTTTTATTACTGTACTAAAACTTACAGTGGTAGCTGAATAACAATATAATTGGTAAATTTCCATAAGGATCGGTTTCTTCATTCAAAGTAGGGCTATCCGAATTACGGCACACTGTAAAAAATTCCGGATTAAATTACGATACACTCAGGGTACCGGTACTTTTTACGTAAAATCAATTTTTACCAGAACATGCTCTGGAACAAAAATTTGATATACCGTTAATTTTAACAGCAGTAATTAGCGTAAAATCATTCTAATTAAATAAATATTATTGTAAAAATTGCGGTATTATATAAAATTCTTTTTTATCGATATGTGACTTAAATGCATTGTATCCTGATAGTATCCATTGATAACAACTCTTGCTGCTTTTTGAGTCAGTTTTTTTTTCCTTTTCGGTATTATGACAATTGAATTGGATAGCTGCACTTCAGGAAGAAGAGGATCACAGATACCCACACATGTGACCTGTGACGCCTGATCATTATCGGCAAAATGACGCTAAAAGTTAGGTTAAGTTTCTCCCCATAAGTTGCAATGTTAATTAACGTGAAATTAATTAAATACAGATTATTTGTTTATGTATTTTATTGTTACTGTGAAACATTTTTGTTTTGCGTACCTGGCAACTTCGATGCTTAATTAGTTTGTTTATGTTCTGCGTGGCTTCATGCCTATCTTTGTGCTATGTAAGAAATACATAGAGAAAGAATTGAAATCCTTGTGAAAGAATCTTTGTGTAAGAATATAGAATGTGTCACTTAAGAGAATGTATACTTGACGAGCTAGGCTTACTCGAAATAGGAAATAACAGTTGCTAACGTAAACAAATACCACGGTCCAACAACCAGTCAGGTTCGAGATACCCACTCAACGTCACTTGTAGGTATCCCATTGATAATTGTTACCATAATTATTTTGAAATTTCGTCAGAACTTTATCAAATAATTATGGTAGACAGGTGTTATTAAATTGAAGTTTCAAAATCGCTTTAAATTCCTCCACATTCTACAAGTGAGAAGTAGCTTGAACAAAAAGTTTTGCTCAATTATAAAAAAAAATTTTAAAATATTTTTTAAAAATATTATGCATACCTGTCTTTTATATACATATTCTACATTATTTGAAGTTATAAAAAAATATTGATTCCAGTGGTAGTGAACTAAAACAAAAACGCTAAAGCAAATGGAATTTTTATAAAACTCTTACCAAAACGTGGGAACATGATTATTTGCTTATTTTGTTTATTTGATTTTTAATGTATCTATTCACATTACTAATGTAATGCTGAGGACAAATCTTTAATTTCAATTCAGTAAAATAGTATTACACTATCTTTGATAACGCTGTGAAAATTACTTTCTGAAAACTCGGAAATTCCGTTGCAGCTGGAAAGTACGTATATATTTGATCATAAGTGTTATTTCTCAAAGCGTTTGCGTTAGCGTTAATAGGGAACCGTAACGTTACGCAAAAACTCTCTAATAATGTGCCGAGATATTTTAACTAAAATATTAACTTATTTGTATAGCGGAAAGTATCATCATCATAGGTAAATCGTGGCATTTATTAATTCGGAAGCCAATCAGATATGATACACACACGTGACGTCGCTTACAGGTATTCAATTAAATCTGATTTAATTCTCATGGTTAGGCATAATCACTTCACTTCTTCTCAAGTTCAATCATCGTTTGCTTTTTGGCGATAAACAGAATATTTTAAAAGCGAATAGGTATTGAAGGATTCCAAAATGTTTTATTGCATAAAAACATATTTGGTTTTAACCTTAATCTATAGGGATAAAATTTAAACTTGAATCAGTTTGCCGAGTTGCCATTACAAATTCATCTACAATTTTGGTTTTTTAGTTAGTTAATTTATCAAATGATTTTCACCAAAAAGGTTCATTCACAATAGCGAGAGATTTAATTCCTATTAATGTTTTACAATTTTGTATTCATGATTATAATTAAATAGGCTGATTAGACACAGTTTTAAGCAACACTTATTATAAAATAATTTATTTTTTAATACTTGAAAACGATCCATAAATTTAGATGCAGATTTAAATATGTTTATCCTTAAATATCATAGAATTACTTCATGGTAAAGGAGTATCGCTTTAGTTTCAAGCCAACTTCAATTCGAAATAGTTTAGCTTAAATTTGAAATAAAAATCAAATAATGAAAGTTAAATAGTGGGGAACACTAAGAAACAATGACAAATTAATATTACGGGTAATTACCGTTAAACTAGAGATAAAGAAGATTGCCACGCTGAAGTATGCAAATGATTTAACATATATTCTTCAGCTATATTTGATTTGAATATTATTTAAATATTGAGATATGTCACTAAAAATATATGTTATTAAAAAATAGATTCATTCTGGAGGTAAATTTATTTTTACAAAAGATTTTGCAAAACCATTTTCCTTAATAATTGTTGAAAACTCTTTAGCAAACAGCGTAATTACAGTTATTACTTATGAAGAAGTCAAATATAACGCTTCAAGTGATAATAAAATTGAATCAGCCAAAAGGTAGGATGCCGCAATGATAAATTACTCGATGTAAAATTTATAATTCATTACATGGTTACGTCTTCTTTATCAAACACTTATAAAATTACCATCGTATGATAATCAATTATAGATGGGGAAATTGATTGAGCTTTCAATGATCAATAAACTTTCTCCCATAACTCGACATCCCTTCTTATTAAGGTAGAAAAAAGATAATTCAATATTCTTATTAATCATACAAATTTTATAATCAATAATAAAAAGATACCATTAATATCATTAATAAAGTTCCAATTTAAATAAAAAATAATTAAAGTATTAGGGATATTAAGAGTTCGAGGTAATTAAATAATTATCATTATTGTACAGGTCACCAAAAAAAAAAAAACAAACCTGGACCTTCCTGAATAACTTTTGATCTAATGATCGGATTTTCACGTTCTGGGACTTAATCTTAATGATTCGAGAGGGTGATCTCAAGTATGCCAATTAATTAGTGCAGACGACATTTTTAGTTACGAAATAAGTCAAAAAACGCACTTTCTCTGATTAAACATATCTTTTTTTTGACGGATCCGGATTTCTCACTCTCAAAATATAGAGGGTAGTCGCAATTTGGAAAACATGGTCCCAATAGTTTGGTTCGGAGAGCGCTCCAAAGTTTGGACACTTTAATGTTAATTTTACTTTTTGCGTAAATCGCTATATCTCCAGAACATTTTAAGCAAATTGAAATTTTTTTAATCCACAATTATAACATTCGTTTATCAAATTGTAATGCCTTCTATTTAAGAATGGTCGAAAAAATTTTGAATTGCAAGGTATACAATTTTTTGCATCATTTTAAAGAATGCAATTTTATACATAAAATAAAAAATTTGAGCGAAATCGGTCCAATAGTTCCTGAGAAATTAAATTTGAAGTACTTGACATTTTTGAAATGCGATTTCTCAGGAACTGATTTCGTAACTTAAAATATCGTCTGCACTTATTAATTAGTATATTTGTGGCCATCCACTCGATCCATTAAGATAGAGTCCTAGAACGTGAAAATTCGAACATTAGATCAAAAGTAATTCAGGGTAGTAATTTTTTTTTGCTGCACTGTACATTGAACAATAATAATGTGATAAATAAATTAAACAATTACATTTAACTCTTCATTAAAATATAAAAGAATGCTTTTACAATAAAATAATCATAAAATTGGGGGAAGTTCGTTAGTGCTGCACAATCGATAAACCATTTAACATTTACTCATTCGCTTGTAAAATGCTTAGCATTAATCCTTCATATTTAAATAATTGTCTGCTGTTTACCCATTGTATGCGGATCACGTAAAAATAAGATTGTGAAATATATATTACTTTAGCTCGCATTCAAAATTTTGAAAAGTGATAGCAAAACTATCTATTTTCTTAATATCTTTCTGAAAGAAATACTATAAAGATATTACAATAAATATAAATAATTAAAAAATTAGGTTACTTAGTGCTAAAACTAATCAGCGTATTTTTTTCTAAAAATTGAAGCTGTAACCATAGCGACAAGTTTGCTCCAGGTTTGATAAAATCTTTGTACCATTTCCTTATGTCACCCGATTCATATTTTTGGAGAAATATTGCTTAAATGTTAGGCGTTCAATGCGTTAGCTACGATTTTTCAACTCTTGTCAAAATGTATAGTTTTTTGCGTTGTTTACCCTAAAGTGATTTAACTAAACACGTTTTTGATATAACATATTACTGTGACAATTATTGTACTAGCGTACGTCAGACGACCTATACATCGAAATGTGTTCTTCGAAACAGTACTTTTTAATCCGACACAGAAGACAAGAGTACTTCTGGGACAAACAAAATTTTATTCATAAATTTTTGAATAAAATTCTTTTCTATTTGAATTATAAATGT